AGGTCCTTTATACTTTCTTTGTTAGATTGCTTCCTAGGTATTTCATTGTATTGAATTTATCAGGTATTTTTAAAGAACAGAGCCAGATGTGGTGGCCATATGACCGTCATCCTCAAAACTCTGGGAGGCTAAGGCAAGAGGACTCCAAGTTCATACCCAACCTGGACAACTTAGTGAGAAACTGAAAATAAAAAGTAAAAAAGATGTACCTTAGTGCAAAGGTGTGGGATTCAATCCCCAGTACAGGGTGGGGAGTAGATAAGAACTACCAGGCAGAATTTGGATGTAATTATTATTTCTTAGGATGGATCTCAGCTGAGGAAATTTGAGATTACCTAGACTGATCCATCAGAGTGTGCCAGGTCTGGATCACCTTATCTCAAAGCAGGGTAACAGTTACCATAAGTAGGCTGGGGGAAGATGCTGTTGTCCAGCCATCTAGATGGGGCCTCGTGCATGTTACTAGCCTTGCAGGGACCAGGCTGAAGTCCAGGTCAGGTGGAGGGGTGAGCTGCCCCTGACCCGTATTTCTCCCCAGGGAGGTAGAGTACGTCAAGCTGGCCAATGAGTACAAAGACATCATCAACTTGGGCCAAGACTTTCCAAACTTCCCACCCCCAGACCTTGGTGTAGAAGCCTTTCAGTGGGATGTCAGCAGGGACCACATGCTCAACCATATACCTTGGCATTTGTGAGTCACGGGCTTTCCTAGGGAAGAAGGGGCAGGCCCACCTGGACATCAAGGCCACAAAGGGTCAGGGTTCAGGGGCAATGCAGGGACAAACACTGGGGCAAACACTGCCAGGTAACAGGCAGGGACATTCTTCCAGCCCCTCCACTGCCTCCTGTTGAGCCCCAGCCAGGATCAGGACCAGGATTCCAGCAGCAATTGGCAGCTGGACATCACAGAACTGGCCAGCAAGTTCACACCTCACACCAAAGCCTTGGCTCTCAATACACCCAACAACCCCCTTAGGAAGATACCTGGGGGCTGAGCTTCCATGGGGGTCCCTGTGACAGGGGCAGGAACCCCATGGGGCCTTAGGACTGGGATGGGGTCATGGGCTGTGGCCTCATTGTTTCCCAATGACCATGGGACAGCAGCTCTCCTCGTGCTTGCTCCTGTGTGAAACAGGATCTGAGAAGACCATGTACCAGCTCAGGGTGCCGAGATCTGTGGGAAGGTGCAGGGAAGGCACTAGTGCCCAGGGTGGCTTCTGCGACATTTGAGCAGGTCCAGCATGTGAAGATGGTCCCAGCTGACAGCCTGCGCCTCCCAGGCCACAAACGTGTTCTCCACAGCAGAGATGGAGCTGGTGGCCAGTATTAGAGGCAGCCTCAGAACGTGGATTTGCTGTGGAGCCCAGACAAGCAGCCCCTCTGAGGTGAGCCATTCTTCTGGTAGTCACCTTTCCATCCTGGTGATAAAATACCTGAGAAAGTCAACTTAGAGGAGAAAAGCTGTCTTTCAGCTCACAGATTCAGAGGTTTCAATCACAGAAACTTCTGAGCCTGCACTGATGCAGAGCATGATGGGGCAAGGACGGGATACATTGCCAGAACCTCTGCCATGGGTCCTACTTCCTGTAAGCCACTATAGCACAAGGCAAATTTTAAAAATAGGAGGCTCCCAGACCATGCTGCACAGGCCATGAGGTATATGAATCTGCACTGCAGAGGAACCAGCATGGCCATAAAGGCCATGGTATGATCTCCAGAAGATAGCGCAGAAGTGAACAACAGAGAGAGGCCTCTCTGAGGCTCCTCAATGAATATTGAAGCCCACTGAGAAAGTGAAGAAAATCTCTGCAATAAAGGCATACTGGACTACTGTGGTTGGTGCTGTGATTGATCTAATCAGTTGTCTTCCCTGTTATACTGAAAACAAGACTGCCTAAGAGTCATTATAGACTCAAGGCCTAAAGACCAACTATATACCTGGAAGACACCTCTGAGAAGCAATCATTCCATAAGGGTTTGAAATGCAAGCAATAAAGATACTCACAATAAGCAATATTGAAGTATTAGACCAGGAATTAAACCAAAAACAGCACCAACAACAAAAATAGAAATGAGAAGCTGGGCATGGTGGCACATGCCTGTAATCCCAGCATTTGGGAGCCTGAGGCAGGAGGATTGCTGCAAGTTTGAGGTCACCTGGACTACATAATGAGTTCAGGGCCAGCCTGAACTCCAAGGGGAGACCTTGCCTCAAAAACAAAAAAAAGAAAGAAAGAAAAGAAAAGAAAAAGAAATGAGAAGACAGCTAAACAAGGTGCAAACCCAGACTTTCAGCTCACCAAAGACAAATTCTGGAAACAGCAAAGTTGAAAAAATCTTATAATCAACCAACTGGACACCCTGAACTGATAGCACAAGAAGTAACAAAACGTGAACAAGGCTCTAGTAAAATTTAAAACAGAAATAATTTCCCAGATAACTACAGAGATGACGAGTAGAATGAAAGACATGATTAGACTCTAGAACAAAAACAGATAAAAATATAAATGAACTCAGGATTATAATGGAAGCTATGAATGCTCAGCATAGGAAAGAAATGCACACCACGAACATCCAACATAGGAAAGAAATGGAATCCATGAAAGATTCAAACAGATATCCAGGAGGTTAAAAAGTCCCTTGAGGGCTGGGGATTTAGCTCAGTGGTTCCACCACCTGCCTCACAAGTGCAAGGTCCCAAGTTAGAACGCTGGTACCAAAAAACCAAAACCAAAACCAAAAACCAAACCAAAACAAAAAAACTCCACTGAAACTATCTGCAGCAGAATGAGCCAATGTGAAGATAGGATATCAGACATAAAAAACAGGATTGCGGTTAGTGACCATGAAAAGAGAAATTTCTTAAAAATAGTAAGGGACCATTATTGATCCAGTAGCTGCTAGATGATGCAAAGAAGACTAACATAAAGGCCAGGGATTTGGCTCAGTGGCTCCACCACCTGCCTTGCAAGCACAAGGGCCCAAGTTTGATCCCCAGTACCAAAGAAAAAGAAAAAGAAGAATAACATAAGCCTGATAGGAGTCCATAAAAAAGCAGGAGAAAGTACATATAACATAAAAAAAAAACTGTTCACAGAAGTAATGGCAGAAAACTTCCCAGAGGAAAAGAATTTGACATACAGATAAGTGAGGCATACAGATTTTTTTTAAATCGACACCTAGAGATATAATAGTTAAGATCCCAGCAATCCAATAGAAGAACAAAATCCTACAAGCAGTTAGAGAAAAGAAACAAAACACATACAAAGGAAAGCCCATTAGAATCACAGCAGACTTTTCAACACAAACCCTCAAGTCAAGGGGAGCCTGGAATGAAGTATTTCAAGACCTAAAAGAAAATAACCTTGGGCCAGGGGTTTGGCTCAGTGGTTCTGCCACCTCCCTCACAAGGGTCAAGTTTGATCCCTGATACCAAACAAAAGAAAAATGAAAAAAGAAAATAACCTCCAACCAAGATTGTTGTATCTTGCAAAATTATTTTTCAAAATCAATGGGGAAACTGGATACTTCCATGACAAACAACACCTGAGAAACTTCATGAATACCAAACCAGCACTCCAAACAATTCTAAACAATATCCTAGAAAAAAACAATGAGGGTCATAACTCCATGAGGCCCAATAGAGCAAAGCCATCAGCAAGTTAAGAAATCAAAGGGAAAGGGGGAAAAATAAAAAATAAAAGAGCCAACAACAGGAAAATATCATAAAAAGGATAAGTCAATATGTATCAGTTAATGTTAATGGCCTCAATTCACAAATCAAAAAAAATAGTCTGGCTGAATGGATTAAGAAGCAAAATCCAACAATATGTTATATACAAGAAACATACTTAATTCAAAAAGAAATTCATAGCCGGGTGTGGTGGCACACACCTGTAGTCCCAGGACTCAGAAGGCTGTAGCAGGAGGATCACTGTGAGTTCGAGACCAGCCTGGGCTACACAGTGAGTTCCAGGTCAGTCTCAACAACATATTGAGACTCTGTCTCAAAAAACAAAACAAAAAGAAATTCATAGATTGAAAGTAAAAGAAGGAAAACAATTCTCCATGCAACAGGAACCCACAAAAAAGCAGGGGTAGCTATTTTATTTGTAGACAAAGTAGATTTCAAACCAAAACTAATTAAGAGAGACAATGAAGGTCACTACATCTGTGTAAAGGGAACAATTCAAGAGGAAGAGATGACAATCGTAAATACATATTCATCACATACTAGTGTTTCCAAGTATATGAAATAAATATTAAGGAAAAACAAATAAGCTCTAATACAATTGTAGTTGGGGACCTCAATACCCCACTGTCACAAATAGACAGATCATCCAGACAGAAAATCAACAATGAAATACTAGAACTGAACCAAACTTTTAAACAAATGGATTTAATAGATGTCTACAGAGTGTTCCACCACACAAAATCAGAATACACATTCTTTTCAGCTGCACACGGGTCATTCTCCAAAATAGGCCACATGCTAGATCAAAGAACAGGTTTAAAGCCAGGCATGGTGGCACACGCCTATCATCCCAGCACTCAGGAGGCCGAGGCAGGAGGATCGCTGTGAGTTCAAGACCAGCCTGGGCTACACAGTGAGTTCCAGGTCAGTCTCAACTACATAGTGA